CTGTGATATTGCACTCATGGGCTGTAGAAATAAGGTAACATTACTTGGAGGCCTTGGTCTAAGACTTCTATAAAGTCTGACCTAACTAAATACAAAAGCATATCAAACTGTTAAACAGCGCATCACTGCAGGAGGAGGGACCAGCACATGGTGTAATGGTTATGTTGCTGGACTCCCATGTAGTCAACTACAGTTCAAGCCCTGGACCTTGCAGCTTAAAACACACAGGACATGTGTGCGTATGCCCAAAATCCCAAGAGGAGAAGGGAGAAAGAACTGCAGCGTGGCCATTCCCCCAGGGGACGATTTCTTGCTTTCTCTCTCTTTCTCTGTCTCTCCAGCAAGCTCATGCACCCAATAGCAAAAATCTTTAAAAAACAAATAAATCACTGCAGGAGAATGACTTAATATTGAGACAGGAGCCTTCCCTAGCTGTAATCTGGCAATTGTGTTGTATTCCTAATACTTTTGTCAAGTATTCTGCACTTCTTGTCCAAGACAACATGATTGTAAATATTAAATGACAACTAAAATAAGAAACCTGATGCTAATATATAATTATTTTATTCATAAGTGTGATGCAGCAGAAATACTGACACCTGCTTTAACAGATCTCAAAGATGTTGATTCAAGCAGGTTTATCTAGGCTGACCATATAATTTAACATCCGAATGAAGGCATGTGCAAGCCGAAGGGCAGGGCTGGGGCAAACCTGCTCTAGCACCAGAGAACCAGAGCATGTGGTCCTATCACTAAGATGAATGGCATTTGGAAGACTTTATCATACAATAGTAAACTCTGAAGACGTCACAACTTGCTTTAGTGGCAGTGAAAAAAAGAACAAAAAAACAAAAACTCTTGTGTCATAGTGGCAATTAAAAATGAATCCTTTTAAGATCAAGGACCAAACCAATGGCATCATGATTTGAGGGAAGTCAGATTCCACATGGCCAGCTGCAGTTCAAGTCCCAGCCCCAGTGACATGGGAGACAGGTCAGATGCATGTACACATGTGCCCCAAATCCTGATAGGATGAAAAATGGGGAAGGGGTTGTGGTGTGATCACACCCCACTGGAAGGTGCTTTCTCCTTTCTCTGGCAAGCATGTGTGTCCTTTGGAAATATAAAGTTAAAATTAAAAAAAAAAAAAAAAGACAGTTGAAGAAGATGGCTTGGGGACCAGCAGTTAGCACAATGGCTATGTCACTGGACTCCCACGTAGTCGACCGCAGTTCGAGTCCCAGACCAGGTGGCTTAAACTCACGCGGGGTGCACGTGTGCCCAAGATCCCGAGAGGAGTTTGGAGGAGAAGGGATTGCAGCGTGGCCATCCCCCCTGGGGGGTGATTTCTCGCTTTTTGTCTGTCTGTCTGTCTGTGTCTGTCTGGCGAGCGCACACGCCCAATAGCAAAAACCTCTCCCCCACCAAAAAAAAAAAAAAAAAAAAAAAAAAAAAAAAAAAAAAAAAAAAAAAAAAGAGATGGCTTAAGGTTTCCTGCAGTAAAGAAGGTCCAAGCTCAGGTATCACTCATAAGCAAAGTACTCACTACTAACAAAGCCAGTAAAAACCGAGCTGAGCAAACAGCTGAAAACACTAACAGCATAGGATGCTTCTGTGATGGGCAAGCATGGTGCACCAAAGTTAGCACCAAGTATCTATGAGCACAGATTTTTTTTTTTCTTATTTAAATTTAAAACTGCAACTTTAACACGGGGTACAAGTGAAGATTCCCCAATTCTCTCTGTCTCTAATTTATCACTTGCAAAAGCACTTAACTGCCAAAAATAAAACAAAATTGGGGGCCATCAATCTATAAGGAAGAGAGTACTACTGGGAGGAAAATAAGAGAGGAAATGAACTTTTAAAAGTTTCAGTAAATCCACCATGGTCTAATAAAACTTATGTCAAAGGTCTGGTTCTGCTCATGGGGCACAGGGTGGGTGGGGGAAAGGGGCAAGGGTGTTAGTCCCTAATGCCTCGAGCCAGACTTGGGCTTCATTCATTCCCAAAAAAGGAGCAATACTAGAGAAAATGGTCCTCTGCTACCTTTATTTTTCCTCTCAATGACAGAAGTCATTTTCTGATCAGATAAAAAAGCCTGACATTTACAGGGCCATTCTCTTTTGAGAAGGCGTCTTAGAAGTTACTCTCCTTTCTGAAATCCTACTTTGACTGCAAATCATACTCTCTAAAGCTATTAAAAGATCTATATTTTAAGGCCATTAGTTGTCCGAAACTTAACAAGCACCATCATTTAAAATATTTAACCATAATGAGAAGGTAACAAATATTGTTGAAAGAGTTACTGGTCAGGAAGTTTATATTCTAGTAATTACCACTAGCTATGACTTTCTGTGATGACATTTAGCCACACATACAAAATTAAGGGGGTTGACCACACTGCAGTTTTAAAATTTTGAAATTTTAACAAAACTTGCCCTCTGGAAACTAAACAGAATAATGAAGAAATCTTGTTCTTTCTGTTAGATACCTAGGAAAGAAAAAAATAAACAGGAAGGAAAACCCTTCATTCTAGGGCAGGGTTTCTGAAAATGTGGTGTGTAGAAAACTTTCCTCAGCACCTTAAGAATGTTTGTTCAAATCCAAGTTCCTGACCAAAATCTCAGGGATACGCCTTTAGGAGTTTGGAGATTTTTTTAAACAAGCAACCCTTTCCTTTAACAAGGACATTTATGATCCTTAAGTTTCAGTTTTAGGACCTTGGTCTTCAAAATGCCATTCATACCTCTGGGCAAGATTTTTCCACATGGTAAGCAGATCCAGGCAGTGCTAATAAAGCCAATGGAAAGATCTCCAAGTTCCACGTGGACTGTCCAGTAACTGCAGTGCCCCATAAGGCACATTCAGTTGCCATACTGAAGTCTCCCCTTAGAAGCTTTGCTGTCCACGGTTTCAGTTACTCATGGTACACTACAAAAAGGTATTTTGAGAAGGACCACATTCATGTAATTACTATGGTGTAACTGTCCTATTTCATTAGTTGTTATTCATTTCTTACTCTGCCTGATTTATATACTTTAACATAGGTGTGTATGTATCTAAAGGAAAAAACATAGTATACATGATGGCTCAGTTCTATCTGAGGCTTTAGGCATGCAATGGGGGTCTTGGCCCAATGGATACGGAGGGAACTTCGATGTTCCCTGCCTCTCACTGCGCAAAACTGTACTATAGGGCACTGCCTAGGGTGTGAACAGTTCTGGTGGCAACAAAGGGACTGAAACAGTCTGGTACTCCCATGAAACAATGAAGACTAAAATAAAAGCAAAGAAAGCTTTGGTTAGAAGTTCCAAGCCGTGGGTCAACAGGTGGCATGGACCTGCAGCTTGCTTTCTGGCTTTCCCTTTCTATCTCTCTCTGATTGAATCAAAAAATGATAATAACAAATGGAATTCAATAAATAAATATTTTTTAAAATTATTCTGAGCCTTGTCGATTTATTTTAGAACAGATAATTAAGAAGTCTGTGCCAGACATACATGAGTTACAATTCAAATAAATAAATCAAAACTTAGTTTTAGTTCAAATAAATACACTATCATATATTTTCTTACTGAAAGTTAAATCTGACTTGGCTTTTTGGGGGGAGTTGTTGTCATAGGGTGTGTGCTCTCACCAGAAAGAGAGAAAAGGAAAATGAGAAATCACCCCCAAGTGGGGGTGGCCATGCCACAATTCCTTCTCCTCCTGGGATCTTGGACACATGTACCTGGCTGATTTTCAAGCCACCAAGTCCAGGACTTAAACCAAGTTCAGCCATATGCGAGTCTAGCACCTTAACCACCATGCCACCTGCTGGCCCCTTCGCTGATTAATTTAAAAAGGGAAATGAATAGGCTTTGCCAGTTTATATAATAAGATTTTTTTTAAGAATTAATTATTTATTAAAATGTGACCAGAGACACAGAGGGAAAGTGAGAGAGCAAGCCACTAGGTCAAACCAGTCAGTCATGTGGGGAGTCCACCACGCCATCTGCCAGCTGCTGACAGAACTTTTTTATATAAATTTAATCAGTTAGATCTAGTTTCAAGGCTTTGATAAAGTTATCTTTAAAGCACATTATATAATACACAATATATTGAATAGTATATCCTTTGTAAGTATTTACATTTTTAAACTTTAGATGTCAAATTAGAGATGTGCAAAAGGAAAACTAATCTAGGACAAGAGGCATGGAATATAGTTGATAGAGTGCCTGAAAAGGGACACAAGGAAGTATTCTGGGAAGACAAAAATACCCTATAGTTTGTTTTGAGTGGTTACTCAGATTTCTAGAACTGCTTGGAAGAAACAACTTATTATAACTTATTATATGTTAATTGTGCCTCAATTTTTAAAATATGAGATTATATATACACTTTTTCAAAATTCCTTCAGGGGTATATTAGGAAAACTATTTGATAACCACTGTACTAGGTATACATAAAAGAAACATCTTGTTTCTCAACTTTTTCTTTTGGTTTCTCTAAACTATGCATGTTGACTCCACATCATAATTTGACTGGTCAGATTACTTATACCTTTTCATTATTACCACTGTTTTTCAATAGAACATTCCTTAACAGAATAAGAATAAAATTAACTAAGGAAAAAGTTAATCTGGGGCCCAGTCCATGGTGTGGTAGTGAAGGTGGCTGGATCCCACATGGCCAACAGTGTGGTTCAAGTTCCAGACCCACGCAGCCTGAAAAAAACAGGCCAGGCATGTGTGCACGCTTGCTCAAAACTCTGAAAGGAGCAGAGATGGAGGAGAAGAAACTGGGGAATGACTGTCCTCCAATGGTGGGGTGCTCTCTCGCCCTCTCTCCAGCTTACATATGTACCCTCTGGCAAACTAGAGAGAGAGAGAGAAAGAAAGAGAGAGAGAGAGAGAGATTGATTTAATAAAGTAAATGCATTTTTTTTTTAATCTATCTTTAACTTTGCTGTAAGGTAAGTGTGCTCACTGGACAGAAAAGGGGAGGGAGGTGAGAAACTCCCCCCGTCTCCTCCATTCTCCTCCTGGGATTTTGGGCACGCACACGCATGCACCATGTGCCCCTTAAGCCACTGGCTCTGGCACTCGATCTGCACAGCTGGTTATGTGGGATCCAGCTGCCCCAGCAATCTGACTGCATTTCTGTGTCTGCACTGGCAGTTGTTACTTACCAGGTCATCTTTCCAGGGACTATGAAGTGGTTGGTATATGTGATTTTCCATGTCCCCAATTTAATCATCTCATTCTAAAGAACTCATTCTCAAATTCCTTAAGTTTGGAAAGGAAACATACCAGAGCACAGACATATGTAACAGATGAAATGTGTTACACTGGGTAGAAATACTTGATGCTAGTATTTCAGCCCTCTTGGTCCTTTGCTACAATTCACTGCTTCAGTTATGCTATAAAAACCTTAATAACAAATTGAATCTCTTTTTTGCAAATAGGACACGAAGCTCCAGCCTTCTTTAGTCTCCTAGCACAGTGAAAACAAGCGACAAGATGGCCTGTCCGCCCATGAATAATGTTTCCATCTCGCGGTCTTTTCTTACATAAGCTACATGGCTTTAAGAGATTCTGGCAATCCTCTATGTGTTCTGTCTCTGCTCTCTGTTCAGAAAGATTATCTGGTTGTTCTCCCATGCTTGAGATGGTCTCCTGGCTTTCAGAACTGTGAGCCAAATCCAAGAATTCCACTGAGTTGCAGGGACTGAAAAGTTTGGAGCCTTCTTCCTTTTTGTATACATGCTTGGGTCTAACAACGGGTGCCGAAATGGTTCTTCGGCAATCAGGGACATCAATTCCTTCATTTTCCTTCTTTTCTGGTATGGCAGTGATATCAGATGTGGAGAGAGAATGGGTTAACTTAGAACAATCTGAATACCAATCCTTCCTCAGGGCCCAGCAACGGAAACAGTACTTCTTGCTTGGAGAGTTAAATTTCTTGCATTCAGTACACTTCCATTCATCCTAAAAAAACAGGCACAGTCAATTAATATTCATTCAGTGGTGAACATGACACTGAGAAAAAGGGAGAGTAGGGTAAATTCTCAACATCTCACTAGTTCAAACACTGTACATGAGCAGTCCAGCCTAGGATCTGAACAGTCCTACAGCCAGTTAAGTGAAGAAAGTCTGAAAATCTTACCCTGGCAATGGTACCACAACTGCCACTTTCAAGCCAAAATTTGACACAGCTATCTTTAAGAAAGTTAACTACTTTAGCTTTCTTCCAGCCTGGGTGAAATCACATAATTTGCTTCCCTTACTGCCTTCTTTTAGACCATTTTTCTTGGCACAACTTACTCATTTATCAGGCAACGGGTTAAAGAACTGAGAGATTGTCATTCTCCCCTATTAATAATGTTATGATGTTTGGCAAAAGGAAGCTAAAACTGAATGTGAGCCATTATGTCTACTCCTGTCCCCTCACTGCTCTCAGGATCATCAGTAGCTGCGTGTCTATATCATACCCTCTGAAGAATGAATGTTCTCGTCCTTGAATGCCAAGTAATTTTTTTCTTCACTTACTCATATTCAAATGAGAAAACACTAGAACTCGATGAATTTTAAAGGCCTTGCTTAATTCAAAGGTAACTACCTGGAACAAGGCAAGAGTCCTCAATGTGGATAATTCCCTGGCTTTGACAGGATCAATGATCTGACACCGGCTGACCTGACTGCTTTTAGGATGAAGGCCAAGCACTTCAAGTTTAGAAGTCGTAACTCAACTGTCTGGACTGAGAGGCAGGGACATTTGTTAAACTAGGATGTTTTCCAGAAAGCCTCAAACACCTTTTGCTGGGCTAAGACACTTCACTCTCAACAAAATGCTATACAAAAACACTGGGAAGAACTTCACAGAGAGTGGAATCTGTAACTGATGGCATGCCACAGCTCAATTGGCCTTGCTTCTCTTTAGTAGTACATAAAATAACAGGGCTTATTAAATTCAGTGGCATCTCTGATTTGATGAAATACAAGCTATTTGCTTAATAGGAGTCCTGAGCCCAAATAGCTACAGAAGTCTGACTAAGATGGAAATATTTCTCTCTGCTATTTGTAGTACAGACTACACCAGTAGCCTCCACTCTATTATTTGGCTATGCAGACACATAATTTGCAGAGTTGCCAGGATAGTCAACAGTGGCGCAGTGGGAATACAGCAGGTGGGGGGAAAGGCTAAACACCAGAGATAGCCTAAAAATGTTTCTCTACCTAACAGTAAAACGTAAAACCCCTTCATGTCCTTCCCTCAGCACCTTCCCCCACCAATGAGATAGCTGTGGGAAATACTAAAAGAAAAATAGGAAAATAAAATAAAAAGAAAAAACTTAAAATAAGTTCATGAGGGACCAGCAGGTGGTGTAATGGTTATGTTGCTGGACTCCCACATGGCCAACTCACAGTTTGAGTCCTGGACTCAGCAGCTTGAAACTCATGCTGGGTGTGTGTGCATGCATGCCCAAAATCCCAAAAGAATAATGGAGAAGGAGAAGGGATTGCAGCATGGCTATCCCCCCAGGAGGTGATTTCTCACTGTCTGTCTCTCTGGTGAGTGCACACACCCTACAGTAAAAATCTTTTAAAAAAAAGTTCATAAAAAATGAAATTAAAATACAAGTTCATTTTGATGACAAAAAAAAAAAAAAACCCAAAAAACAAAAAAACAAAAACAAAAAAACCACTGAGGGCCATACAGATGGCACAGTGGTAATGTATTGCTCAAGAGAAGCCAGATCTGGGAACCAGCAGTTAGTATAATGGCTATGTCGCTGGACTCCCACGTAGTCGACTGCAGTTTGCGTCCCGGACCCGGTGGCTTAAAACTCACACTGGGCGCGTGTGCGTGCGTGCCCAAGATCCCGAGAAGAGAATGGAGGAGAAGGGATTGCGGCGTGACCATCCCCCATGGGGGGTGATTTCTCGCTTTCTGTCTCTATGTCTCTCTCTGTCTGTCTGGCGAGCGCACGCACCCTATAGTGAAAACCTCTCCAAAAAAAAAAGAGAAGCCAGATCCTACAAGTGGACCAAGGTTCAAATTCCTTGCCAGTTAGCCTGGTCAGCCTAAAACATGTGGACATATCCAGGAGCACCTAGGACCCTGAGCTAGAGGCCTAGAGGAAGGGGGTTTGCAGTGACCAGACCAGTGGAGGGTGCTTGTCTGTCTCTCTCTTTTTCACGTACATGCACAAGCACATATACTTTATCATGAATAAAGAAAAAATATTTTAAATTGAAATCTACACAGTTTTTCCATAAGATGCACTTTCCATGTACTTCTGATGATCTTTCATTCATCTGGCTTAAGACCTGAGTTATTGGGACCAGCAGTTGGCATAATGGCTATGTCACTGGACTCCCATGTAGTCAACCACGTTTCAAGTCCCAGACCCGGTGGCTTAAACTCATGCCGGGCACATGTGTGTGCGTGCCCAAGATCCCAAGAGGAGAACGGAGAAGGGATTGCGGCATGGCCATACCCCTGGGGGGGGTGATTTCTTACTTTCTGTCTCTCTGTCTTTCTGGCGAGCGCACACGCCCTATAGCAAAAACCTCTCAAAAAAATAAAAAATACAAAAGTTAAGACCTGAGTTATTAACTGGTATCAAATCCATACCTATTACCTTGGGAACCAGCAGTTAGCGTAATGGCTATGGCGCTGGACTCCCACGTAGTCGACCGCGGTTCGTGTCCCGGACCCGGTGGCTTAAAACTCCCACCGGGCGCGTGTGTGTGCGTGCCCAAGATCCCGAGAGGAGAATGGAAGAGAAGGGATTGTGGCGTGACCATCCCCCCTGGGGGGTGATTTCTCGCTTTCTGTCTCTCTCTGTCTGTCTGGCGAGCGCACGTGCCCTACAGTGAAAATCTCTCCAAAAAAAAAAAAATCCATACCTATTACCTAAGAGCTTAACACCAAATATTTTTAAATAACCCTCCATTAATATTAATCTTTGTGAAAATGAAACCGGGTTCCCTTCATTTCTTTTTTAAAAAGCATTGACAACATTAAAATATTTTTTCCAAGATGGAGCATACACACTAACAAGAGAGGAGGAAAGAAGAGGGAGAGACAGCAGTGTGGGGTAGTGTGGGGAAAGGGAGAAAAGAGAGAGAGAGAGAGAAGAAAAAGGGAAGGAGAGAGAGAGGGGAAGGACCCTTCATAGGACTCAGTCATGCTGCGATGCCCCCTTCTCCAGTCTTCCAGGCTATCAGGATCCTGGGCACAAGTACTTGGCATGTTTTCAGGCTGACTTGGCCAGGGACTTGATTAATGTCAGCATGTACTTCTTGCTGCACAGAGGCTGGGCCTGACAATATTACTTTTATCATCAGCAGAATTCTAGATAGCCTATAGAATTTGGCATTACAGAGAAGGGTTAGCAGGGGGGAAAGTAGTAAAGGACTATTTTTAATATCTCTCTATCTCCAATGTAACATATCCAAAGAATTTTGATAGCATGGAAAAAGGAACATCAAGCCATTTTAGCAACCTTTTTACAAGGTATATATTAGATCAAATTATCCACTTCCTATTTCTAATTCTAATAAAAACTTCTAACGAGATGTAAAGAAATCAGTATCTTGGTCCAGCAGGTAGCACGGAGGATGAGGCAGTGGGATGCCAAATGACCGACTGCAAAAATTAAATTAAAAAAAAAAAGATGGGCTAGCAGGTGTCGTGGTGGTTAAAGCACTGGACCCAAGAGCTCAACCACGGTTCAAGTCCTGGACCCAACATTTTGAGACTCAAACATATGCATGCATGCCCCACATGCTCTAAATCCCAGGAAGAGAAAGAATTGTGGTGTAGCCATCTCCCTGGTGGGGATGATTTCTTACTTTCCCTCTCACTCTCACTCTGGTAAGCAAAAACACCCCATGGCAAAAACCTTAAAAAAAGAAAGAAAGAAAAAATCAGTATTTCTTAGCAACTAGAAGTAGAAATTGGGGGGGGGCGGATGGCACTTTTCAACACAGGTATACTGCTGGAATTGTATCATCTGAAGATGTGGCCAGTGCAAAACAGCTTTTACCAGAGATTCATACCTCAGAGGTAATTTCTACATCAGTATCATCACTTAAGGACTTTGAGTCCTCAAGGTCATCATTTTTGCACACTTCTATCATCTGTGAAAGCAAAAACAACTCATTAGTAAGATTTACCTATTTTAGATGAGACTATTGCCTGAAAGCAAAAGAAGAGCTTCAGTTCAAAACTCACATTCTGCCTCCATCACTGTAACATTTAAAAAGGAGGGAGCTTAAATGGGACACCAATGATTCCACACACACCTAAGTAACAACTCAGTAGTACAAGGTTTGAAAAACACCCAGAAGGCTAGCAAATACCTTCTGCACTCATAAGGGAGAAGTGCTGGAATTTATGATTTTAAGAAAATACATGTCAGAGTAGAAAAGCTAAAAATGACTAAATATAGAACCAGCAGTTAGAGTAATGGCTATGTCGCTGGACTCCCACATAGTCGACCACGGTTCGCGTCCTGGACCCAGTGGCTTAAAACTCACGCCGGGCACGTGTGCGTGTGTGCCCAAGATCCCGAGAGGAGAATGGAGAAGGGACTGCGGTGTGACCATCCCCCCTGGGGGGTGATTTCTCACTTTCTGTCTCTATGTCTCTGTCTGTCTTGCGAGCGCATGCGCCCTATAGCGAAAACCTCTCCAAAAAAAAAAAAAAGACTAAATATGTTACAACAGGCTAGAGAAATAGAGGGGAAAAGGACTGCAGTGTGACTACACCCCACTAGAGGTGCTGCTCCAACCCCCACTCTGGTGAGCGCAAGAGCCTTCTGCTAATTAAAAACAAAAATTTCCAGTTCCAGATGTCACTTTTATCTTCATTCTAACCACCCTGCATTCCTTCTAAAGCTACCCCATATAACCAGTCTAAGAGAACCCAAGCACTGACCTGCCTCCATATCAGGGCATCTTTCAGGAACCCACGTTCCTGTAAATATCTAATCAATCAATCAATAAGGATGACCCAATTCGGACCTTGTTTCTTGCTATATTTACTCAATAGACGTTTTCTGAGAATCTTACATGTGCCAGGGTACTGGATTTGCTACCCAGTTTCTTCTGAGATTGAGTACGTTGCCTGTATGACCCTCTACCTTGGTGTACTTAAATCAATATACTCGGAGAACTAACTCCCCTTTTTTCTATTTTAACTCTCAAGCAGGTAGAAAGAAATCATCTATCTTTCTATTTAGGTGTAAGAGGGTAATGGAAGCTATCGAGATTTTTCAAGACAGAATTTTTCTCCTATAGGCCATTTGGAACTATTTAGAACTTTGCCTTCCTAGCAAAGAAAAAACTAGAAGGAAAAATGAGCAACAGGAGGCAGGAAAAAAAAAAAAGAGTTGCTCATTGTGTCTAACAAAATAAGAACTTTACTATGAAACCCTATCTTATTTTTAAAGCAGCTTGGCTAACACGTGAATCTTAAAACTGGATATGGAAAAATACAAAAGAAGTAAAAAAAGGGAGATCATGTGAGTGATCTGTTACACGAAGATACAGAGACCTGAACAAATTATACTTTGATGATATAATCAGCATGAAATTTTAATTTCTCGTAACATACCTTTTTGTCACTCACTTTTCCTACTTCTTCACTTGTCTGTTCAGTATCGGCAGCTTCAACTTTTATTCCAACACCTAACTGCTCTGATACTGACTCGTTCAAAAACCACAAGTCATCTGTAGTGTCTGAAACAATGGCAGTACCTATATCCTAACAAAAAAAAACACACAAACATATGAGTTTCTGTAATCAGAGGCTTAACAGAGATATTGAAGCAACACAAATGACCCCAAAACTCGTGGCTTCACACTACATCTCCGAAGAACATCTGGCCTTTCTCCAACAGACAGGTATTCATTCTACATATACTTTCTTGGCAACTCTTATGGATAAGTTAATGGAGAGATATAAGGGTGCCTGGGCAGGTACAGCACCTGAGAAACAGCACCTGAGAAACAGCATGTCCATGCTTAAAAGTGCTGACAGTTGCTCAACTACAAGGAATCCATTCCTATATTCCTTTTTGCAGGTGGCAATGTGAAGCTAGAAAACATTCTACTGGTTCTAACATAGTCTTTCCTCTAATGGTAAATAATGCTCAATGAAGAAGTATGAGAAATATCAATGGTAGCCCAAATCTTTTGCCTGATACTTTCTGAATTCTTAAACAACTTTAAATATATATTAATAGAACTTTCACATTCATCTAGATATATTATGATATGCTTTTCTATAATACTCATGAGACAATATAATATTCCACCACTGTTGTATGCCCATTCATTTATTCAGCAAATACTCAATGAAAGCCAGTATGTACCAGATATTGTTATAATCAATGGAGAGTGGAGAATAATAAAGCCCTGGCCTTATATTTCAGTGGGGGTAAAGAGAAGTACATACATAAAATACAATAGGGTTGGCTCCACAGCTAGTGGTTAAGGAGTCAGATACCACATGATTGACTGCTGTTCAAATTCTGGCCCCAGCAGCAGAAAACATACCAGGCACATTTGTGTGCCCACCCAGGGTCCCAGAAAGATGGAGAAATAGAGAAGGGATTGCAGCATGTCCATGCCCCACTAGGAGGTGCTTTCTCCATCTTTGTCTCTCTGGCAAGTAAGCGCATTTTCTGGCAACAAATAAATAAATAATATTCTTACAAAGTGAGAAGTGCAATGGAAAATATAAAATAATATAAAGAAGCAAGGGGCTTGGAAGGAGGTCCAAGGGATGCATTTAAGGAGCGGTGCGTTTTGCATGGTCACCACCTATAACTGCACAAAAAGTGAATGGATCCCACTGAAACGGTGCAACATAACAGCCTTGGTGACCAGGGATAATCTCTCTGAAGAAATTACATTTGAAATATGAGAGAGACAGACAGAGGGGAAGTGAGAAGAAACATGAGAAGAAAATGAAAGGAAGGAAAGACTGTTCCAGTAAAAAAAAAGAATAAGTCTTAAGATTTGAGAAGGGAAGCTGGGGCTGCAAGGTCAGAAAGAAGCCTGTGGGTCTGGAATGCATGCAATGAACAAAAAAGAATGCTAGGGGGTGAGGTAGGAGGGGACGAACCCACTATAGCTATGGTAAGGAGTCTAGGGTTTATTCTACTAGCTTTTTGAGGCCACTGGAGAATTATAAAAATGGCGGTGATAAAACTTATTCATTTAAAAATGTATTCTTCAAGAAAACTGAACTATTAAATGAACAAGAATAGGAACAAGGGTCCAGGAGGTGGCATAGTGGTTAAGGTGCTGGACTCCCACATAGCTGAATGTGACTCAAGTCTCAGACCTGGTGGCTTACTTTCTCACTTTCCCTCCCCCCCCCTCTGGTGAGCGCACACTGCCCTATTGCACATTTAAAAAACTGTTAATAAACAAACAAATCTATCTATGTATCTTTAAAAAAAAATACAAATAGGTAGACCAGCTATGGTATGAGGGTGCTATAATATTTGTATGACAAATGATAATGACTTGAATTACAGAATGATAACAACACTAAAAAGTGGCTAAATTTTGGATATGTTTTGGATAATGAGGTGATAACCTGAGTATGGCCTATGACAGAGAAAGAAAACCAATATATGCTTGATATTTGGCTGGAATAATTGGGTAGATAATAGGTTTACAAAAAAGGAAAAGCTGGGGAAGGAGTATTGGGTTAATGAGAAAAAAAAAATCAAGAGTTCAGTTTTGAACATGTTAACTATCAGATCTTTAAGTGGAAGTGTTAAGTGGGCAGTTACGTATGAAAGTCAGGCACTGAGGAGAAAGGCCAAGGACAGATACAGATTTAGGATCACGTGTATACAGGTGGTATTTTAAGTCATGATATTAAATAGGAATACAGAGAATGCAATGTGTGATCAAGAATAGCCAAGAATATTACTCTTTCAAAAGGAAAACAACTTTCCCTTCAAAGAAATTTACCTGATTTGTCTGTAAATCAGTAGAGCCATTACTTCTAGGTGTATAATTGTTTCTCAAGTTTCCTAAAAACCACCAAGGCAGGCCAGCTACATCCCATTGCTCAAACTCAAGGTCCAGCCCAGATGCCTCATCTTGAGTTAAATTTTCTATTAAGTCTTCGTCTACAGAAGTTAAATGAAAAAGATAACTATGTACCCAACACTCAAGAACCCAAGACACTCTTTAGAATACTTATAAACTCTTTGTACAGTAGGGGAAAAAAATTCTTATTCTCAGTAAGAACCAGAAATCAAGTATCTGTCTTAGTGGCTGAGTCCAAACCTCCTCCCGTTTAGGCTTCATAAGCAAGTAACGATACTAGAAGTACATGATCATACATGAAGGAATTTAAACCCTAATTGGTCATTCACTGGAATTTTTCATTTTTTAAAATGATTTTTTATTATTATTATTAATTTGCTATAGGGTATGTGCACACATCAGACAGAGACAGAGTGAGTAAGAAAGCAAGCCGCCAGGTCCAGGACTCAAATCAAAGTCAGCCATGTAGAATTCCAATACCTTAACCACCATGATACCTGCTGGCCCCATGGCTGGCATTTTTAAACATCCCTACCTCTGTAACATCTAAAGAATGACTTCCTGAGGGACCAGCAGTTGGTGTAATAGTTATGTTGCTGGACTCCCATGTAGTCGACCACAGTTCGAATCCTGGACTTGGTGGCTTAAACTCATGCTGGGCGCATGTGTGTGCATGTGTACCCAAGATCCCGGGGGGAAAATGGAGGAGAAGGGATTGCGGCATGGCCATCCCCCGAGGGGTGATTTCTCACTTTCTGTCTCTCTCCGTGTTTCTGGTGAGCACACGCGCCCTATAGCAAAAAACCTCTTAAAAAAAAAAAAAAAAAAAAAAAAAAAAAAAAAAAGGAATGACTTCCTGGGGCTGGCAGATGGCATGGTTGTTAAGGCACTTGATTCCCACATGGCTGATCACGTCCTGGACCTGGTAGTTTGCTTTCTCACCCATCCCCCACCTTGCCGGTCAAATTAATAGTAAATAAATAAATACAGGAATGAATAAATTAAGTAAACAATTCTTTAAAAGAATGACTTCCTCTAGTATATAGTACCTGCTAACACCTGATCTGCTGGACTGCATGGCATACCATAGTGGTCAAAGCAAGTCAGTATAGACCAAAATAGACAACAGGTTGTCTCACTGGTACCACAAATTTTGGAACATTTCTCAGTAATTCATATGTTTTGGTACATAATAACCACTGTAAAACACTGTCTACAATGTGCAAATGAACACATATACCCTTTCTAGGGCGCAATGAGTTCTTGTGGAGTTAAGTATCTAGAAACAGGGGCCAGCAGGTAGTGTAGTGGTTAAGGAAATATATTCCCACATGGCCAGTCACAGTTCAAGTACTGGACACAGTGGCTTGAAAAATCACGGTGAACGCATGTGTGTGTGTGCCCAAAATCCCAAAAGGAGAAGGGTCTGCAGCACGGCCATCCCCCCTCAGGGGTGATTTTTCACTTTTCCTCTCTGTTTCTCTCTGGTGAACAAATGTGCCCTATGACCAAATGTATCTAGAAATAACACAAATATTAAAGCACCATGTATTTCAAGTAAAAAGACCATGTAAAACATGCAAACATTTGAAGCAGTTACTAACATAAGTTCTTTACTATCATAGGAAACTCCTTTTTTTCTCTCCCATCCTCCAGTCCCTTTTCGTATACTCCATTCTTTTCCCACTTTATGCTACTTGTTCAATAATGATGAATGGAAGTTCTACTGGTTGACCACCGAATCATGTTAGTGTGAATAAGTCTGCTACTACTAGAATTCAAAATAGACATTGGCTAATTGGTCAAAATATTATGCTGTGTTGTTTAGAGGTATGATGTAAGGGGACAATGACTAAGATTAGGATGGATATCACTAGGTCTAATACTCCTAATTTATTTGGAATGGCTCATAGGACTGCATAGGCAAATAAAAAGTATCATTCTAGTTTAATATGTAGTGGGTCTCGAGGGAATTGGCTGGTGTGTAATTGTCAGGGTCTCCAAGGAAGTCTAGAGCAAATAAGACTAGGCTTAGTAAAAAGGCTAGCAGAATGACCACTCCGAGAACATCTTTAATTGTGTAGTAGGGCTGGACCTCTGCCAATGGCAACAATGGGTGCTGACATGTGCTGAGGTCCGTATGATTGACACAATTTCTGCAATAAGGAGGTCTCCGGCAGAGCATAAGGTTACCCCATCTAGTACAAATTATACCAGTCTTACATATTAAAAGGCATATCTGTGGTTAGTTACCAAGTTCCTCAGATGTTCCATATTAAAAGTTATCCTTGGACCAGCAGGTAGCCTGGAGACTGAGGTGGCTGGATTCCATATAGCCAACTGAGTGGTCTGAATGGCGAACCTGGTGAAAATCATGCCACGTGGGTCCAGCAGGTGGCATGGTAGTTAAGGCACTGGACTCCCACATGGCTGACTGTGATTTGAGTGCTGGACCTGATGGCTTTCTTTCTCTTTCTTTCTCTCTCTCTGGTGAGTGCACATGCCCTACAGCAAAAATTGAATAGTAATAATAAAATTAAGTAATTATTTTGGAAAAAAAAAGAAAAATTATTTAACATGAGATTGTGAACATGCCCAAAATTCCGAGAGGAGGATAACAGACTGTGGCCAATCCCCCTGGGAGTGATTTCTTACTTTTCCTCTCACTCTCTCTGGTGTGTGCATGCACCTTATAGAAAACTTTAAAAAAAAAAAAAGAATCCTCATCTACTCAAGTTCCAACTTATTTATTATGAAGGGAAAAAGATCATTCTTTCTACAAATAAAAAATGTTGTCCTTTCTCCCTATAATAACATCCTAAAGACACTAAACTATTTCCCCAAATTTCCATCACAAACTGCATAGTCACTTGAGTTAGCTGTTTGTATATTTCAAACAGTCTTTTGGGTAGAAAATAAGGACATACATCCAAAGAAACAAAATTATACATTTTCTATATGTATACTGAAGTAATTCTGAGGTAGCTAGGAAGCTCAAATATCAATTACATTCAAATGCTATTTGAAATAAACAACCCAACATGATAAACTTATCCAAATTTAATGTAAACATTTAAAACAACTTCAGCAGCAACTGTCTGAAACATAGTTGTCTAACTTGCCACAGGTCCAAGTATGAACTGGGTATTTACATTGGAAGACATAAATAATTTGGGGGAATTAATTATTTTATATATCTTTGAGGGGAGGGAGGAAATAACCAACATGATTTTAGAAAATATTTTTCCAGGGAACCAGCAGTTAGCGTAATGGCTATGTCGCTGGACTCCCATGTGGTCGACCGCGGTTCGCGTCCCAGACCCGGTGGCTTAAAACTCACACCGGGCGCATGTGCGTGCGTGCCCAAGAATGGAGGAGAAGGGATTGCGGCATGACCATCCCCCCTGGGGGGGATTTCTCACTTTCTGTCTCTATGTCTCTCTCTGTCTGGCGAGCGCACATGTTCTATAGTGAAAACCTCTCAAAAAAAAAAGAAAAAAAGAAAAAAAAAGAAAATATTTTTCCAAGTGAGGTTTGGGGAAAACTTCTAAATTATCAGCAAACTCATTTAGCCTGTACCATGTCTGAAAAAATGACAAAGATCTGACAACTCCTATCTAAGGGCAAAGGAACTACAAGACAACATATATATCATTCTAGGCTATGCGATACTATGTATATTTTTTCATCTCTACAAACTCCAAAATCTTTGAAAATCAGTCTATATCTGAAGCAAATTCAAATATATACAGTGGTACCAAGATTAAAAAGGCCAGGTCAGCTGTATTCCTGCACACAGGCAATTCACCAGTGGCAAACTCTTAGGTAGGCAGCTATACCCTATTAGTAGTCTAGCTACTAGAAGGGTCTTATACTATTCCAGCCACTACAGGTTGCTAAAAGAACAACACTATCTTCTTCAAAGTTAACAAGGGTGGGCTGGCCCCATAGCCCAGTGGTTAAAAAAGCTAGATCCCACAGAGCCGACTGGTTCAAATTCCAGTCCTGATAGCTTGAGAAACAACCCAGACATATATGTGTACATGCCCCAAATCCCAATGGGATGGAGAAATAGAGAAGAACGGACTGTGGCATGACCACATCCCATTGGTGGGTACTTGCTCTCCCTCCCTCTGTCTCTTTGTCAAGTGCATATACCCTCTGGCAATTATGGGGGAGGGAGGGAGACAGAGCCAGCAGATGGCATGGCAGTTAAGGCACTGAACTCCCACACGGCCTACCACGTTCAAGTCCCAAACCCAGTGGCTTGAGAATCATACCAGGAACATGTGCACAAGTGCCCAAAGTCCCAGGAAGAAAATAAGAAGGGACTGTGGTATGGCCATTCCCCTGGGGAGGGGGCTGATTTATCATGTTCTTCTCACTGTCTCTCTGGTAAGCCAAGCACCCTAAGGCAAAAACCTACAAAATAAAATAAAATAAAATAAAAGTTAACAATTGTGAATAGGTCAAAAAAAGTTTCTCAGAGAAGAATGAGACATACGACATATAACCTTTCTGCTTTACATGCAAACACAGCAAATCATCAACAAAAGCAAAGGTGAGAAGGGTAGAGGGAGGGAGGGAGGGAGGGAAGGAAGGAGAAAGAAAAGTCTGTACAGCCTTAATCCAAAACTCACCTTTAGAACTTATACATTTATGCTGTGAGGTAGATAGTACAGGATTATCACCTTCTTCAGTTCTTTTTCTGGAATTGGAACTTTCCTCTCCATTTCGCTGAAAAAAGGGAAAGATTTCTATCAATGTAGGAGAAATGATTATGACCAGGGGATGTAGCAGTTCCATTCTGGCTCACCAGTTAGTGTGCGACACAATGGGTTACACACAAGGGAAACTTTGGTGGTCACAACAGTCATCAAATAAAGGCGACATCTTTCCTCAACCTATTGTGAGCAGAACTAAAATCCCAAAACACCTGTGCAAAAAAGCCAAAATCTACAGTTAAAAATAAAAACAAAACAGGCTATTTGTATAAAGCCTCTAGCCTACTACAAAATTAAGCATAATGCAGAAAACATGTGAAGCTCTCACCATATACCAAGATGATTATGTTTCCTTGGGTTGGAAGAAGCCTTAGGAAATAGCCTGATGTGAACTTACTGCAACAAGCCTGTTAAAATCTGACAAGTCAGTTTTCTCAAATACCTGTGTATATACACACACTCTCTCTCTCAAACACACACAAAGGCACACACAAACCCAAAGAAAATGCAACTGGAAGAACTGAAGATCAGAAGTGCTACATCCCAAAGAAAAATTCAGAGACTGGAACTCTGTTATGGGCAGAACAGAGAAGGTTCACTCTGTCCCTGGACTGTGAACTCCCAAGAGCCTTTCTTATTAAATTCTTACCACATTCAGAGAAAGGTCTTGGAAGTCCAAGATCCACAGGTACAGAGAAGGGGCCACTCTGTACAACAAAAGAAGTCACCGTGTGGTGATTTTACCTTCAGTTGGTCTTGACTTGGAATATCCAAACTGTGATCCTGTGCGAGAGCGAGAGTCTGAGCAGCATCTGGATAGCAAGTAAAACAAAAGGAAAACCTTCCCTGGTAATAACCATTCTTTCCACACAGAAAGGACCTCAGCAAACAACACTCAAGCCAGATGTGGTCACTAGAGATCTACTTCTCCCTGTTGGCTGAACAAGGTTCTAATTTGCAAGAAGGGAAAAAAATCAAAACTGCTAAAAATAACAAAGACCAAGACAGACCATATTCAAAGTAAATTACCACTATATGATCCAGGAGGGTGGGGGAGTAAAAAATTGGAGAAATAATTCTTCCACACCAAGCTTTCAAATTTTGTATTAAAAAATAGTTTTAGGCAGGGAATAACGGAGAGTGTTTTTATTAAAAACAAAGTTTTTACTTTTTTACTTTAATTTTTATTTTCAAGTTACCAGGGATAGGAGATCTGAAAATCTGGAATTTTCCCCACTTGCTTTATAAAACAATAGTTTCTTCATGTAAATCTACATTCTAAGTGTCAGTGATGTTTAAATTCCCATTACACTTCCATGTAGATTAGATTTTCTTCATCATTTTCCCCAGTTACTATAAACATTTCCTAAGAAGGAGTAAGAAGAAGCAGATAAAATTTTTCTCAAGCCCAATAACAAGAAGCAAAGAAAATAACAAGCTAGCAGAGAGAAATCTGTAGAAATTACATAAGTCTAGAAAGAAATATATCCCAAGGACTTAGAAATTTTTAAAGCAGAACTCAAGATAAAAATTTGGCCATAGAAAAAGAAGTTGCAGAGAATTTAACAAGCTAAGACTAGTTACAATATAAGGCTGTGTGTAACTGAGATGGACTCAAATAAATCTATTCTAGATTTATTTGTAGGTTCATCAGGTCCAGAGATAAGACATTTATTTAGGGAAAAATATCACCCTTATCCAATAAAGATTGCCTGAGAAAAAATACAGATTCTACAACTGGTCTGACAATGTTATATAATGTTATATACAAAAATGTATGTACAAAGCAAACATTTTTGAAATTTACTACAAAGAAAATTATTTCTAGAAGCATGTTTGTAGTGAAAGGAGACAGTGAAAAGAGCAAGAGACAATATTTTGTGACCACAGTAGTCTTTGAAGCAAAACTGATTAACACAGAAAGTATGTGAAGTGATTCTTTAATTAAACAATTCTATTACTGTAATTTTTTTTTTAAAGAGACAGGGTCTTGTTAAGTTGCCTAGACTGACCTTGAACTTCGAATCCTGTGAAAGGCGTAAGCCAACTTTGTCACTGATATTTCTAAAGTTTTACTACCTTAGGTTAAAACTAATAGAAACAAAAATAAATTATCTGAGAAAACTACCAAATGAGGGATGATTTCTACTCTCTCTCTCTTTCTCTCTCCCTTTCTCTCTCGTGCGTGCATGCACGCACACAAGAGCACATACCCTATAGCAAACAAAAAAATAAAAAATAAAAAAAATTTTAAATGCAAATTTTGTCCTACTTAATTTTATTATTATAGGGAAAATTGGAAAAATAATTTAGGAAGAACTGCCTTTACTTTGATGGTATTTTCTTCAATTACTGTAATAAAAGGTTTAACCTATCTGCAAAGGTATAAAATATAAAATAGGAAATGCACTTTTCTTTTTTCTTTTCCAATAAAGTACAAGCAACCCAATTTATGAAAATGAGTAAGTATGGCCAACCACAAACACAAACACCAAGACAAGTCAAAGAGCAACAAAATTACTTGGGTTTAATAACTGTATTATGGTTATATGAGATGCTAACTGTTGGAAAATAGGGGTAGAATTTATGGGAACTCCATATGATACTTTATCAATTTTCTTGTAAGTCTGAATTTTTTCCAAAATGACAAGATACTGAATAAAAATAAGGCTAGCTCAGCAGCACAGCAGCAATACATTACTCAAGTAATGCCAGATCCATATGGAAGAGCATGGTTCAGTTCCCTAGTAAGCCTTCACACCCAGGCACATGCACCCATGATCCTGGCTGGCTGGAAAAACTGGACGGAGACTGTAGTGTGAAATCTTGTTAAGAATGCTTCTCCCTCTCTCTTAATCCCTCACTTTCATGATAAAATTTTTTTTAGAGGGGAGAGGTTTTCACTGTAGGGCACGTGCGCTCACCAGAAAGAGAGAGACAGAGAAATAGAAAGCGAGAAATCACCCCCCAGGGGGGATGGCCACGCCGCAATCCCTTCTCCTCCATTCTCCTCCTGGGATCTTGGGCATGCACGCACACGCGCCCGGCGTGAGCTTAAGCCACCAGGTCCAGAACATGAACCGCAGTTGACTACATGGGAGTCCAGCGACATAGCCATTACGCTAACTGCTGGTCCCTAGAATTTTTTTTTTTAATTGCCAAATGGTGTGTGAGAGAGACAAAGAGAAGGGAGAAAGCATTCCCATGATAGGGCATGATGATACGGCTATCCCTTCTCCGTTTCTCCATCCTGTCAGCATTTTGGGGCAACATACGCACACATGCCCAGTGGGTTTTTTAAAGTCACTGGGGCTGAGACTCAAACCAGTCTGTCTTGTGGGATCTCGCTCTCTTAACCAGGAGGCTACAAGGTCAACCCAAGAAATAAGCTTTAAAAAAAAAAAAAATTGTGTCTAGCCTGGTGGCATAGTCAGGGACATACTAAATGCAGTGTTGGAAGCCACATGGCCCATCACAGGTTGGGATCCCTAGCCCAGCTGACCCGAAACATGCCAGAGGGTGTCTGCATGCATGCTCTAGATTCTGCCGAGTTGGAGGGCCAGGAAAGGGAAACATGATAGGATGAGACCCTGTCAAGGAGATTTTTCTCCCTCCCATCCTTCCCCCTCCTCTCTCCCCCTTTCTCTACCCTATGTGCATAGAAAAGAGCGCTCTTATAAATAAAATCAAATAAAACTTAGAGAAAAAGTTATAAAGAATAAAAATGCCTTAAAGATGTACTGTATAGAGGGAAAAAGTGTTTAAAAATTGAGTGGAGGAGATTCTGTTACAAGAGAGGGTTAAGGAAATACTGACGTGTGGCACAACGGTAAAAAAGACTGACCAGTCTGAAATCTCAGGTCTTATTCTCAGGCAAGTCATTCATTCTATTAAAAAAACAACTACTACTTTGGTTTCTACATCTCACAGTGTGGTCATGAAGATCGACTGTCACAGAAATAGTCTTTATAATAAATGACGTGTTAAATTCTGCAAATAAAATACAAGAAAGCAAATAAGAAAAAAATGTGAGAATTATACCTACTTCTGGATATTCAGAGAATAGGCCAATCAGAAGACAAATTTTACTGAAAAAGTAGATCAGCCACTACAAAAATACTCCATGAGGCCCAGTCACATGGTGTAGGCAGCAGGACACTATTGCGTGACACTGGAGCTATATGGGAGAGCCTGGGATTTGAATCCTAGGTTGGCTTGAATGTGCTGGGTGCACCCACAGGCATGCCCATGATCCTGGCTGGCTGGAAGGATGGGGAGAGGACTGCGGTGTGTGACAAGATCCTGTGAGGTGCCTGCCTGCCATTTCTCTCCTCTCATGAAAAAAATTAACAGAAGCCAGGTGGTGGTACGTAGGCTCACATGGATTGGACTCTGGAGTCATGTCCCTCGAGTATGCCACTCATACACGTGTGCCTGTGAGCTACACCTGGTGGACTGTGGTTTGGAGATTCTGTTCGGGGTTCTCTTTGTCTCTCTTTTATGGAAGAAATAGATAAGCTTTAGGGGAAAAAAAGGGAAGAAACTATATTTTTTTAAAAAAATGTATTTCAAGCCAAGCCATTAGTGACAACCCCAGCAAAGCACAGCATTTCACAAGTGACTGGATTCCAATAAAGCTACCATGTCATTTGCAATGCCTTCCCTTTCAAACAGAAACATAGCTACATGAAGCGGGTGAAGTGGGCAAATGGCTAAACATATTTATTTCAGTTAGCTAATAAAACATAGCTGATCTAAAACAATTACAAAATTTGGGCTTTCTTCAAAGGACAGTGCCACCTAAAATTTGATTTGCAGCTCACAAAAGTGCTTCATGGAGAATGGAGAGAAATAAAGTTTCATTATTTAAAAATGAGAGAGATGAGGTTACATATCAGCTATTCCAGTTTATGTACCTATCTCACACACCGCCACTTTGATAGCCTCAGAACCCAAAGCACCTAATAAATTAAACTCAAAGGACAGTATTTAAAAGGTCTGGAGTAATGAGGCAAAGAGGTACAGAAACTGGCAGTCAGATAACAGAAAGCTAAACCCATGAGGAAAAAAGGTTCTTGGTGGATCTTTATAACTAATGGATTGGACTGACAGCACCTGAGCCCACAGACTCTTAATACATGCTGACCTTACATGACTCTGATGTGATGAAACAGAAGTACAAAGCACCATCTATAAGTTTTCTCAGTCAGAAATTGAAATTTCAATGTATTCACTACTAGTTTACTAAAATTAGGGGAGATAAAGGAACACAATAAATAGTATCACCAGGACACAATCTGCCCACATTACAAGGTGGGAAAGTCTACAAAACACATGACCCACTTCAACAAATAAATGACATAAAAACTAAAGGAGAATTAAGTTTTATAAGGACACATGGTGTGTGTGTGTGTATAAAACCAAATACAACATGTGAACTTTGGGTCCCAATTTGAACCAGCCAAAACCAAAAAGTACTTTTTAGATAATTAGGAAAAATGATATGTAAACTGACAATTAGATCGGATTACAAAATTATTAAATTCATTTATTATTAATTTTGTTGGGTATAATATTATAGTTATGTTTGAAGGAAAAGATTCTTATCTGACAGATTTTTTTTAAAAGCATATACAGATGAAGCCAGCACTAAAAGAAATTAACAGTTACTACATCTAGGAGGCAGGCATCTTTCTCTGCTTAGTATGTCTGAATTTTTTCACTATGAAAGCTAAATAAATAACACAATAACATTCTGTACAACAGGTAGTATATATCCTTCCCAGTCATGCCAAAGACAGCATTCCATTTCCATTTCAATCTTCCTTGCTTTTTCACCATTTGCCCCCTTAAACTCAAAGCTGTGATACAGACTGAAGAAATATGAATTGACATACCTGTCGTAGCAGTGGCTAAGGTGACAAGATTCTTTCTTAGCATATCATAGAGAGGGCTGTTAAAGAAACAAAAGAAAATGGACTCAATTGCCACTCTGAAGATATCAGTGGTTTCCCATTAAATATTAAATCTATTTCTGATAAGTTTCTCCCAACTTTCTCTGTAAGGTATAGAGAGGAAGAATCTTTTCTCCAGAATAGATTTTAGATATTATTTGAATGTTAAGATGCTAATGTTTAAACCTATGTGTTACCGTTATTAAAAAGTTTAGTTAATTTATATTTTATTTCATTTGCTAACCATAACTCAAGTGGGAAGATTTCCCCTGGAACTATTCCTTCCTTCCAGGAGCTAAGTTTTATATTCTAATGGGGGGAAGGGAAGAGAGTCTTACCACTGTAAGACAAGATGAGCTGGGAAGCAGCACTTAACACATCATACAGAAAAAGGACAAATACTGGCTTCGCAGTTATTAACCAGCTTTCACTTTATCAGCTGATAACTGTATACCTCAAGTAGCTAGATAGATCATGCACCAGGTCAGAGGGTTGCTGTGATTCTTACTAGGTTCATCACCAGCTAAACTACCCAACAATTCTATACAACTCTCATCAACTCCTCCTCCTCTAATAATTACTTCACAAAACTCTGACCTAGCCACATCAAGCCCTCTGCTACCTAGGCATTTACACGTGGTGTTTAATCTGCCTAAAGCTCTCTGTCACCTAAACTCCACTAATCAACCCTCTATTCTTCAACTCTGAGCTCAAATCTCATTTCCTTAAGGAACTTCTCCTTGAACTCTAACTCTAAATCGTTCCCACTTCCTGCTTCACAGACCTCTTTTCTCTACCACTCATCACAGCATTACTTAATCAAGCATTGGTGCAATAATTTGACTAAGGTAGGGAAGCACATCTATGACCTCAATACTCTAAGTTCCAGAAGATCACAGACTGGGTTGCTCACACCTGTATTCTCAGTGCCCCATAAACATAGGACCTAACGTAGGTGTTGACTAAAGGAATAAACAAACATTAATAACCTATGACACTTAGTGACTAGGTTTAAGTACCCAAGTCAGATAAGCCGACACTTTTTACCTTGGATCTTTCACCGAGAAGCTCTGACGTCCTAGCAGTTCTCCCAGAAGATCTCCCCCGCAATATACCATATGCTGCTCATGCTGATCGTAAAGCTGCTTCACCATTATATACTGGCCCAGATAGTGCATAACCTGCGTGGCAATGCAAAACCATGAAATTATCTGGCCAGATGGAGCCAAAAACATAAACTGATTATGAGGAGATACCATAAGTTCATTTTTTAGGAAAAGCAGTAACAAATTTATGAGACTTTCAGTGCTTATGCAAGGGGTCCTAGAACAGGACAGCTTTTAATTACTAGGTTGGTCTGCTCATTATATTCCAACCATTAATAGACCTAGACTTTTCAGCACAGAAATGTACTAAGCTGACAATGAGAAAAAGTAATGAATTTGCCTAGTATCTCCTCAAAAAAAAACTTCCCACCAGTCCAAATAAAAGAATTTACGGTATCAGAAGTAATAAATTTTGGTTTTTCTTTTTAATTTGCTACAGTGCATGCACTTGCTGGAGCAAGACAGAGAAAAAAGAATGGGAAAGTGAGAAAGCATTCCCCTTTCCCCCATAGGGGATGGCTATACCACAGTCCCTTCTCTTTTCCCCCAGAGGGGATGGCTATACCACAGTTCCTTCTCTTCTCTTCTCCTTTCAGGATTATGGGCATGCATGAAAATGCACCTAGCCATGTTTTTCTAGTCACTGGGTCCAGGACTTCGAAGCATGTGGTCAGCCATGTGGGATCCAGCCATCAAAAACACCATGCTATTAGCCAGTCTTAGAAATAATAAACTTTACGGCTGGCAGGTGGCATGGTGCTTAAAGACATTGATTCTCTAATGGCCAACCACAGTTCTAGTCCTGGACCTGACAGCTTACTTTCTCCCTTTCCCTTTCTTTCTCTGGTCAAATTAAAAAATAATAATAACAAACAATTAAATAAACAATAATTTGTTATTTAAAAAAAAGTAATAAACTTTGTTTTTTAAGGTTGATGCCATGAGGTACGTGCACTTGTCAGAGACAGTGAGAGGGGAAGGGAGAAATCACTCCCAAGAAGGATGCTTCAATCCCTTCTCCTTCATTCTACCCCTGGGATTTTGGGTGCGCACACACACCCAGCATGATTTTCAGGTTGCCAGATCTGGGACTCCCATGTGGGAGTCCAGCACCTTAACCACCATGCCATCTGCTGGCCCCTAGAAGTAACAAACTTTAAATCTGCCTGACAAGAAAAATATTTTCTAAGTCCAAGGTCACAAAAACTACTCTTTTTTTATTTTTTCCATCATGATAGTGTCCAGTGTATTTCAGGCCAATTAGGCCATGTATCCAAATAGGGTTAGCCTGTGGCTTCCAGCACTGAAGTTCAGTATCCTACTGACTATACCACCAGGCTGGACCTGATGCGGGCTTATTCTATTTTTTTTTTTTTTTTTTTTGAGAGAGAGGTTTTTGCCTTAGGGCACATCACTGCTGGGACACAGAATGGGCCCTCCTCTACACTTTTAGATGTGCATTCACTTATTCTTTTTGGCAAATGAAGTACAATGTTTAATAAGTCATCAGTGCTGTAAATGTACAAAGTATAGAATCTAAGCGCTTACCAAATAAAAATGTAAGAGGCTGGGACCAGCAGATGGCCTAATGGTTACGTCGCTGGACTGTCACATGGTCAGTCATGGTTTGAGTTCCAGACCCAGTGGCTTGAAAACTCACACCAGTCGAGTGTGCACATGTGCCCAAAATCCCATGAAGAGAATGGAGAAGGGATTGTAGCATGGCCATTCTTCCTGGGGGTTGATTTTTCACTTTCTGTCTCTGTCCATCTGTCTCTGTCTCTGTCTCTCTCTCTCTTCCCCCCTCTCCAGTGAGTGTACATGCGCCATAAGAAAAAAGTCTCTCTTAAAAAGAGATTGGCTGCATAGCTCAGCAGTCAAGCACTTTATGGAGGAACTCAGATCTTCTCACATAGCTGACCAGTGTTTGAGTCCCACCCCAACAGCTTGAAAAATACCCTGGGCATGCTTTCCTAGAATCCTGATGGGATAGAGAATTGGAGGAAAAAGGATGTGGTTTGACCAGGCTGTTCTGGTAAGTGCACACATGCTGGTGCATCTGCTCTCTGCTCTCTCTCATGTGCCCCGTAAAATTGGTAATAAATAAAAATAAAATATAAGTCCATCTGGATTTTTTTGAGAATTCACAAAACAGAAGGAAAAGACAAATACATGGTTTAAAATTTAAAAACAGGGACCAACAGTTGGCATAATGGCTATGTCGCTGGACTCCCATGTAGTCAGCCACAGTTTGAGTCCCGGACCCGGTGGCTTAAATTGACGCTGGGCGCGTGTGCATGCATGCCCAAGATCTCGAGAGAATGGAGGTGAAGGGATGTAGCGTGGCCATCTCCCCTGGGGGAGGGGGGGTGATTTCTCACTTTCTGTCTCTCTGTCTCTTTCTGGCGAGCACACATGCCCTATAACAAAAACCTCTCCAAAAAAAAATTAAAAATTAAAAACAATCTAAAATGCAGATGATTTATTTCATATATACCTTTATTTTATCATTCAATTTAGTACTTTTTACCAATGGACTTGGCTAAATTTCATGATAAACAAAAAAATTCGATTTATTGAAAAAAAAGTTTTCAAGATCAGCCAGTGAGGTGGTGGTTAAGGCAACTGGATCCCACAGGGCTGGCTACATGGTTCAAATTCCAGACCTGGCAGCTTGAGGAACATGCCAGGCTCATGCATGTACATGCTCAATATCCCAAGAGAAGGACAGAGAAGGGACAGCAGCATGACCATTACCTATGGGGGGAGGGGTGCTTTCTCACTTTACCTCTCTCCTCCCCTCTCTCCTAGAGTACAGGTACCCTCTGGCAAATTTTTAAAAAAGGTGTTTTTTTTTTCCGAAGTATTTTCTAAAACAGCAGGTTGAAGAAAAAGTTTACTTGGGTTCCCACCAGTAAGAATCACCATATCAGAAGCAAATCAAAGCAGTACTCTCTAACTTTAGGCCCCACTTCTTAGGAGGTACATACTGGCATAAAATGTTCCCAATTATATGCCCATTATATTGGAGCAAGACGCTCCTAGGCTAGCCTTGTTCCCCTCTCCTTCTAACATGTCCCAGTATTAATGGATTAGCTGAACTCTCACAGAAAATCAACTACTGAGTAGTCTAGGGGAAAATAAGAGGAGAAAAACATCCACTGGAAGAAACAGAAGGAAAAATCTATTAATGTCCATCCAACTTTCAGAAAAAATAAATCCATTCTAAGTACATAAAAAAGGATCTTTTAGGGACCAGCAGTTAGCGTAATGGCTATGTCGCTGGACTCTCATGTAGTTGACTGTGATTCAAGTCCTGGACCCGGTAGCTTAAACTCACGCCGGGCGTGTGTGTGTGTGTGCCCAAGATCCCAAGAGGAGAATGGAGGATAAGGGATTGCAGTGTGGCCATCCCCCCAAGGGGTGATTTCTCACTTTCTGTCTCTTTCTGGCAAGCGCACATACCCTATAGCAAAAACCTCTCCAAAAAAAAAAAGATCTTTCAAACATTACTCTAAACGTGCATGTACTACTACTAATCTTCTTGTATCATACTATCTCAATGCATACACTGAGAACCAAGATATTAAAATAAAAATTGGGCTGGCTTTATAGCTCAGTGGTTGAAAGAGCTGGATCCCATAATGCTGACTGCAGTTCAAATCCCAACCCTGATGTCTTAAAAAACACATCAGGCAGAAGGCAGCAGATAGCAGAGCAATTAAGACTGTTAGACTTCCAGATAGCTGACCATAGTTTGAGTCCTGGACCTGGTGTCTTTTCTTTTTCTTTTTTTTTTTTTTTGAGAAGTTTTCGCCATAGGGCGCGTGCGCTCGCCAGACAGACAGAGAGAGACATAGAGACAG